AACAGGCGTATTTGCCAAATTCAATGGCACGAAAAAAATAGGGAGCAAAGCCTCCCTTTTTCTACATTTTTTCAATTAAATAAAGTACCTATTAACATATCCAAACATCTAAAATAAATCCAATTTATTTTTTCTTATTAAATCAGATTATTTTTTGCCCTTTTCTTCAACTACCTACTCATTGCACTATTATTTACAAAAGAATATAGGTGTTTAATGTATAGATGTCTGTGAGTGTCTGCAGACGAACACGAGTATATTTGCTAAAGCCAAATATCTGTGTGGATTATCCCTGCGGGATAGCATATTTCTAAGCAAAAATAGTGAACGATTATTTGATTTCAGAACTGTATTTTCTTAGGAACAAGAAAAAGATCGTTTTAAACTACGAACTTTTCCTACACTGAGAAAAAGATATTTAAAAATATGTTTGTGAGAAATTTTATTTCACTGAAATCAATTTTTGTTCAAATACGGCGAAATAAAATTTTATTTCTAGCAAATAAGCCATCTATTTTATTTTTTTATAATTAATGAGATGTGTTCACAGAAATGTATATTTCGTCATCGCAATCAAATTTTTTCATATAATTAATAAATATCGGAGAAAACATGAGTAACATTTGTTTCGTAATACTTCAACATTTTTCTCTCAGTGTATACATCTCATATAGAATGTAGATAATAACATAATGAAAATAATGGAATGAATGAAAGAATGAAAGCAAAATTAATATACGACTGACAATAGATAAAAATTAAAAATCGTGTTATTATTCTAAAGTAATCGTGTTAAGATAAGGAAGACGATCGGGGAGTCATTATCCGCACCTCTGATAACGACGTTGCAAGATCGCTTCTTTTCGAGTCGGGGACCGGAAAAGGTACGGAGAAAAAGAACGAAACGGACGACCTCGTTTCTCTTTGCCATCCTTCCTCATCATATACCGGAATGAAATTGCCCGCGGAAGGCCGGCGGAAGGCCGACCCGTAGACTTTCTGAGGTTAACCGTGCCGCCTGTTAATGGTCAGAGCCACGAAAGCCGGCCGTATTTTAAAGTCGCCAGTAGTCGGCAACGAACTCTTTTGCGGCGTCGATTAACTCCAGCGAAAGCGCCGAAACGAAGACATGGGAACAAGAGAAAAAAGGAAGCAGTTCCGTTTTTACACGTTTTTTAAAAGATCCAGAAGGCTGGATAATTGAGGGATCTCTCCACATTCACATGAATTTATTGTGCTACCGTGAAATAACTTCAGACAAGAATACAGAACTTTATAAATATGTAATCACAGTTTTATGAGAAAACGATATGAATCTGTACAGAAAATCTACACAAGAGTGGCTATCGATCTATCGAGTTTTCATTTCATTCCACTCATCATTTTTCAATTAGTTTAAAATTGATTTTCTTTCTTCTTTCAAGCTTCCTTTCATTCAGAAAACTGCGTCCTCGTAAATATAGACTTTGAAAATTCTTACGGGCGACCACCAAAAAAAATCAGACAAACAGATTTGAGTAGTTGGAACCTCGTCACGTGAAAAATTATAAATAACGTCATTTTTTATAAAAAAAATAATTACCGATACCTAAAGAATATCAAAAAGTGGGCATTTTTTATATACCTATCCTGCATATTATCTGGAAAAACGATCAATTTTCGCAGAATACTAATTCTATATCCATTTGCTCTCAGCCTGTGGATTCCTGCGGCGCAAAAGGAAGTTCATTGAAGAACGCGGCGATAAAAATACATCGATAATACGATATTTCATCATTACGAACGTGGACGAGTCGAACGAAGTCGTGGACCTCCCGCATCGAAAGCGCCGAATGATCTCTCGAGAGCGGCTCCCGGTTATTGAATGTCGAACGCGAAGGAACGAACGATCGATCGCGTGACGAGGCGAAAAAGAATCAAGCGCGCGCGCTCGCGCTATCTAGATAAAGTTCATTAGAACGCGCGCTCTGAAGCCGAACACGTTAAAGTCGTTTGTGTTACCAGCACTAGTCCCTCCATCAAGCGTGAGCAAAGCCCGGGAAAAGGTCTGCTCCAGTTACGGAAAAAAAAAAATGGATTAATTATCATGGAGTCAAGTACCGTTTAGTACTAACGCTGCATGATCATTATCACTGTTACAGCAAGCTCCATAAAGTAACAATCATTAAATTAGCTTTCGTTTTTCATTAACTATTTTGCACAATTTTAATATTCATATATTTATATATTTTGTATATTATTTATATAATTCATTAAAAAAAAAAAAACATTCATCATGTTTAAAAACAGACATTATACTGTTAAGTATTATTACATGTTTACTTTTAACACCGCAAACTGATAAAAATAAGACAAATAAAAAAACTTTCTACTTTATATCACATTATAATATTCGTAATCTTTTTTTGTTAATAGTTAATTCTATTAATTCTATTGAATATCAGTTAATTTTATTAGTACATTGTTGCCATCGCTATTATTATTAATGTTATTAAAATGAATAATACTGTCAATGTTATGTTCCACTAATCATAATATCATTTTTCGTTATTAGCAATATATGCATTAAAATCGCAAACTTTGGCATATTTGTGCAAAATCAATTGTACGCGTATCGTACTTTAAAATGCGAATAATGTTATGTTTACACTGCTATTACGTAATATAAATCTGTAAATACTCGTGATATACGATACATAACGAACTGGATACAAGTGAATTACAGTAAATCACTCACCAGGTCGTCTCATTAAACATAATATCATTATCGAGGCGCTGAATTATGCAGGAAAATAATGCGCAAAAATAGATGCTGTGCATCGTGAATAACGTTATACTTTTCGTAAATCGTATACTTACGCGGTCAGTACTGCCCGATGGACAGTACTGACGTCACCGCTTACGGTACAAACGCGTAACATAATGTCAAATCATACAGCGGATTACATGTCGAGATGACACGTAAGGTGACCTATGTTTCAATAAAATATCAAGATAACAGGATATGTATGCCATATCCTGTTTATTTTTTAAATACGTCGACCTGTTCCATTATCATAAAACTTTGATCAATCGAAGCAGGAAATATCAAAAAATTTATCATCTCTCATCATGCACATCTTATATGAAAGCTGATACAAATATCTTCTTCTTCGATATATACCTCTTTATAATTTAAGAACAGTCGGAATA